AGAACCTTATATGCGATATTTAAAAGACTGATCCCGCGGTAGTTGGCGCAGTTTGCAGGATCACCTTTTTTGTGGATTGGGCAAAGCACACTTAAATTCCAGTCGTTGGGCATGCATTCATCCGACCAAATGTTGCGAATTAGCTGTAGCATGCATTTTGATTGCTCTTCGCCACCAGCTTTAAACAGCTCAGCCGGTAAACCATCGGCGCCTGCAGCTTTGTTGTTTTTGAGCCGCGTTATAGCTGTTTTAACTTCATTATGATCGGGAGGCGGGACGATTATTTCATCGTCAACGATTGAAAATTCGGGATCATCTTCGCTTTCAGTCACATTGCTACTACCGCCATTTAGTAGTTTCGAGAAGTGATCCCTCCAAATATTAAGCATGCTTTGGACATCTATCACCAGATTACCGTTTTCATCTTTGCAGGAATTAGCTCCGGGTTTATAACCATTTGTCAGGCTTTTGATTTTTTGATAGAATTTTCGAGCCATATTCCTGTCGCCCAGCTTCTCAAGCTCTTCGTACTCACGTCTTTCTGTTTCCTTCTTTTTTCGCCTGAAAAGACGTTTCTCTTCCCTTCTCTTTTGCCGATATCGCTCTTTAACAGCGCGCGTCGCAACTGACCACTCTTCATTAGTGGTCTTTGGAATAATCGAATTTTTATTTAATCAGTTCATAGTCCGTATATAATTTGTTTGGACTGCAAGTACCAGGCTTAGAACGTCGTCGTTAACTCATTGAGGACCAAAGATTATATGCAGAACTTTTCTACCGAAAACTTCTAGTGCTGCTTCATCATTGTGCAGTAATGATGTCAGCCTGGAGATCTGAAGAAGAATCACTATTGCCAATAGGTGCTACTATGGGCTCAGTAGACAATTGGGTTGTAGACTTCTCTCTCGACAAACAAAATTTATGCTTTATAGGTCAGTCATATTATCTGTGCTTCTGTATGGCGTAGAAGCATAAACGTTATCACTGAAAGGCACCATTCACAGTAAAGTTAAAGTCAAATGATTATGTTAAAACTGTTTGAGCCAGTGCACTTGAGCACTTTTACTCTTTCTTAACTCGAGGTATTTTCAAAACACATCTTTACGCCTTGACTGGATTATTGTTTATAACACTTTTCTATTTTGTAACTGACTGTCTCCTCAGGGGTCTTCGTTCCTCAAAAATCTGTCTAATATGTTTAGTATAAGTATTTAAGAGAGCTGTTATTTTATTAATATGAAACATTTGCTTTTCTGGTTCGAAATATCTTTAATTGAGAATTCTGAGCAACTATCAGATCCAATAAAATGTGATATCACAATGAGCCAACTTGTGAGGATCAAATTAAGTCGTAACCTGTTTCCGAAACAGGTTGCCACTTATTTTCAACATGTATGATAATTATTTTCACGTATAGTGAGTAGCACAGAATATAAAAAAAGGACTTAGAAGAAGAGTCTACAACTGTTTTGATTCATTGTTATTGGTTTATCTTTACATTAAACTAAGCGAAAGGCAAAATGATTTCCAAAAGATACCAAATATAAAATAGGATACCTTCAATTCAATAAGTTATCTTATGTTAATAAACATCTTATATCTCAATTTACAAATCTTAATACATTATATTATTTTTCTATCATTTATCAATTATATGAACTATTATTTAATAATTGCTTATTTAAAATGAATCATTATTTTTTCAGTTAATATTCAAATTTTATATTATTATTTTATTACAGTAAACCAATGGGTCTCTGTTAATAAAAGTTAACTGTTGTTAACATGTCAGCACTAACCAGGAGAGATGAGCGAACTGAGAATGAAAAAGGATAACTTGTGCAGAAATTTGCTAACATTTGAAATATTTATAGCATGCGATTTATTTAAATATTTTTATGCTTAAGCTTATAGCAAAATTTTATATGCAATATGAACAGGATTAACTATTGTACTATCAAATATTTTAGTACATATTTTATTTATGCCAGTTTTCATATATTACTAAAATATGTATGTGTATTAAATATTGTCATTTACTATAATCCATATGTTGTTTTCAAGATAAGTAGAGTACTGCTGTTAAAGTCAATTCTTAGAATATGTTTGAAGTAGATTAAAAATAATCAATCCAGTCATTTTTTTACAATAACTAAGGAGAACAAATGAATTTACAAATAATATACATAGATGTAATTTAAATGTCAGTAAATAGATATTTAAACGTGCTAATGTAAGCACTATTACTACACTAATATAGCAAAAATATTAATAACAACAGCAGTCGTAATACTAGAAGAATAAGGTGCTGCATATAATATAAAAATCCTAACTTACCACAATTCTACAACTTAACTACTCAAATAAGATAACTAAACTTTGATGGAGGGTAAATTAAATATTCTTATCCTGCAATCTCCTCTTCCTCTTTACCTTATTCCAAATTAAATATCTGACTTTCAGTTATGATACCTTTAGTATAGTTGAAAAATGTTTCTTCAGCTATATAATGAAAAGTGAAGGAATGTAGAGAAGCAATCGACAAGCTAAAACGGTTGGCTGATGTCACCTCCATCCTGGTTCCTGGGCATAGGAATATCGAAGGGAACGAGAAAGCTGGCAATTTAGCATGCTTTGGTGCTTTCCTGGTTGTATCATTGGCGGTACTGGCTTATATTACCCTAGAGAAGTATCTTCCTATACTTTCTGTAACTTGTCAATAACAAATGGAAAGTAATTAAGTCATGTGCAACTTCCAGGTTAACATGGTCCACCTATAATAAAATAGATCCTCTGAACTCATCAAAAGAGATCGCATGAACACTACAAGGCTTTATTCAGTTCTTTCTGGTCATTGATGTATAGGAACCCACGCCGAGAAACTGTGCATTCCCATAAGCCTCACTGCAGAAGTTGTGCAAATCTGCATGAAAAAGAAACCATAATACATTTTTACTGTGAACGTCCGGTCTTGGCATCCAGAGGATATAGGTTCTTGAGCATATACTTCTTTGATAGTTTATCCGAATGTTCAGCGGTGAAGACGAAATACCTATTAAATTGTCTAAATTCGGTGGGATGAATTTAACCTTTACTCTTCTATACTAGGGTTCTTGTGAGGAATGTGGTGGCAAAACGGCGAAAAATCGCTAACTGAGGTACATGGAAGTTATCTAATGAAAATAATGAAAAGTTCATAAATTTACTTTGAAGAATATGAAAATTAGAATAGTCATTCAAATCTATTTTTAGTTTTATACACAAATATATCATATTCTTAGATTTGAAAATTTAACAAAGTAAACTCATGTCAGTTACTTATTAAAAAATTATTTTATATGTAATAATATTTGATTCAAATCATATTAAAAAAAAAAGCCAACATTTTGATTTACATACAAATATATATATTTTTTAAACTAAATAAGCATGGATAAACTATATGTTGAATCAGATCATACAGATGGACCACAAAAAATTGAACTTATGAGCAACAGTGATACTGAAGACATCGAAGAACATGAATTCACAAAATTAACTGATATAAATAGAAAGAAGATTCCGAATTATATTGTACCACCTTATAACGTGACTCCTCTCATGTCCTACAATGATGAACGCGCCATAGAACTTGTTTCCGTTAACCGTAATTCTACTCTGCGAGAACGTTGGCATAATTATCTGACGTCCAAGCGTCAAAGACCTGCTAAACTGCAATTATTTAGAGACACGCTGCAGGAGTAAGTATTCATTTTTAATATATAAATATCAATTTGTATAGCGTATTTTTTTTTGTGTTGAGCAGAATGCCAAAACCTCGTAAATTTAATTTGAACGGTCAGTTTTACGATGCTATGAATAGACTATGCCCTGTTCCGTTTATTCCCAAAGTTACCAATAAGGTGCAGAAGACTGCAGAAGAAACTAACGGAAAATAAATAAGCGTTATATAATTCGAGGTGCTAAATAAATTATATGTAGTTTATTTAATACTTTACATATTTCAATAAAAATGTTTTATATACTTTTCAGCTTTGAACAATCATTCTTAAGCTAAGAAGGATGTCGTTTTTGTGTACACTTTTCCTTATGATGTGATTATTCCTTTGAAAGAAGGCATCTTTATATTTTTTATGTTTAATAATGTGCTTAATAAATTAAATAATGCTTTTAGACATCTGGAATACCGTTTGTATATATATTTATTTCTCAGTGAAATTTTATACTGAATCTAAATAATATATACAAAATAAAAATTCTCGTTATACACTTGGAAAAATTGTTTTCTTGGGTATTTAACGGTTAATAATAGTACTTAAATATAAACAATCTTAATTGTTTAAACAATTTCTTGAAAGTTCAATCAATTATATTTAAAATGCAAAAAATTTCAAATCTCTATTATTTATATAGCCTGAGATATGACCGTTTAAAAATGTGTCTTTAATGGTAATTGTCAAAAACCCATCGGTCTTCTAGGAAAAATATTACAAAATTTTTAACCGAGATACGGGTCTTCTTATTTTATGAATGGAGCTCATAAAAAAATTTTCAACCAAATCGGAGATGATGAGGTCAAAAAGGTGTCATATATGACACATATATAACAAAACCGATATAAAGATAGATTTGCAATTAAATAAAAATATGTAAAAATGCATAAAATATGTAAATATAGTTACTCTAAAAAAAATATAATAACTGGGTTTTACAGAAAAATTCTTTAAAAATATATTTTTAGAAGTTGTAAAAAATTGATCAGTCTAGCTTGTGCAATGCAATAAATATAGAAATATGCTTCAGAATTTACTATTTTATTTAATATAAAATTATAAAAAATGTATTAGAGGAAACGAAAGTTATAAGAACAATTTTGATAGGAGAATAGTTCTAAAACATCGTAAAAAAACAATCCGACTAGCAATGAATATGGATGGATATGTTTTATAGAATTTAGTCTTTTATTTCATACAAAGTCATAAAAAATGTGTTCTTCTTTATCTTTCTTAGCATAAAAGTCCTGGGTGGACCAGTGCTTCCTCAACTAATATCCAAGGTCTAGGTTATGATTTCATTACAGTGTTGGTTTTTCGATGTTGGATTATAAACCCTACGCTCAATCCCTTTCTACTAGGATCAGGCATGAATACATGCTTTTGATTTAGTCAGTAACCTACTTCTTATGTTGCAATCGCTGCTGTTGATTTTCTGTAGAAATATTCGTCCGCCATCATTTCAAAAACATAATAATCTGACTTGTAAACCTACTGACCTTAACTTCAAAATATGTTAAAGCAGCTCATGTAGGTTGCTCTCGTTTCATTTGTTACAACATATGGCTACCACATATCACTCTTCGGCTCTTCGCCTAATACGGTATCGTTCATCCTTTAACGGAATACCTAGGTCGCGTCATGTGAAAGCTGAAACTAGGAATTTGTATTGAGAGGTTATCTTTTCACATCGATGCACATTTGCGAGCTATAAAAAATATGTTATAAGAAACAAAAGTTATAATAAAAATTTTGATAAAAAAATATTTAATGTTTAATATAGAATATTAAACAGTGTAAAAAAGCAACCCGACTAGCTATCCCAATGAAATAATTTTAGAAATATTTTTCAAAAATTACCCTATGATTTTCTATTTGGAACCCTAACTTCAAATAGATTCTTTAGGTCTGGCGTATGTATGGTGTTTCATTCGTGGTATTAGAATAGGCTATTACTTCTCCTTGTGTGAGCTTTGGTGCATAAGGCTGTTACTTTAACTTAAACTTATGATAGTAATAGGAATTAACAGAGTACCTCAACGCTCTCAACAGAAGACACTCCGCCTTTCGAATGAAAGCCAGAATGTCAGCCGTTGAGGACCGCCTAATGTCAGAAGGGGAGAATATTTCTCGACCCAGTGACTTCCTCCTGGCTCAGATTAAGGCTGCGCAATCACAGTGTATGTGACTAGAAGTGTCATCTGCTTCTAAGCAGAGTCGACAATATATCTCTTCGGACAGACTCATTTTGTTAAGGTGATAACGCAGTTCATGATGACACCTTAAATATTCCACTGTTCTGCTGAAGAAGGATACCTTGCCATAACTGTAGGAATATACGAGCTCTTTAGTCTGACGGTTACGTGGAATGTCACGCCAGTAGTGAATTCTCTTGGCTAAAAATCATATCGTATCATAGGATACCTTGCCATAACTGTAGGAATGTACCAGCTCTTTAGTCTGACGGTTACTTGAAATGTCAAGCCAGTAGTGACTTCTTCCGGCTGAAAATCATTCATCAATCAGAGACCCAGTTGTAGACCATCTTAATCCACAATATGGCTCCACAGATTTGAATGGCAGATCCCGACTTATGTTAAAGAACAATGAGATATGTTAAATATTGCAATTATTTTCTTATTTTTTTTATTGTAATAAATATTGCGAACAATTTATAATCATGATAAAATAACAATTTTCATTAATAATAAAACAAAGATAACCATTTTTAATTAACTTTTGCTATAGTAAAACCAAGTGCGAATCATTTCCTCATACATTCGGAATCATTTTCCGTGCTTGCATTGTTGTTTTATTTTATTTTATTTTATTTTATTTATTTGTTATTGTTATTTTAATGTGGAATTGCATTAAAAACCAAGTCGAAAGCGTAAATTAGCAAACTGCAATCAAAATGAAATTTTTAATGCCACCACAAGGACCTCTCAAAGTAAAGCAAACAAATAAAAGGAAAATATTGCTGCGAAAACTCAAATGAACACCCCAAATCCTTCGGAACGTTGCACGCCTTTTGTCGAATTTCGCACAAACGGCAAATTTCTAAAGAACAAGAAGAAGCAGAAGAACCAGATCTATACGGAAAAGAAGAAGAAAACCATTGTCAGTGCAATGAGGAGAATGCGAGGCAAAGAGGCAGTTTAGATGGGCCAACACAGAATTTCTTTGTCTTTTTGTTGAAATAAATTTTGCCACTTTTTGGGGTTTTATTTTTGGTTGCGTGTAAAACTTTGCTCTTTTCCTATTAAAATTTCTGCTTTTATTTTCATTGCTTTTTTGTTTTTTATTGTTTTTTTGTATGTTTTTTGTTTTTGTGTTTGCTTTTATATTTGTTCCTTTCTTTTTTTTTTTTTTGTATCTGAGTTTTTGGGGAAATTCAGTCACAGGCGAAGCCATTAATTGTGACAATGTAAACAATGGAAACTTTCTGGCTGCAATAAATGTGGAAAACTGTGGAAAACTGTGGGAAACTGTGGAAGAGTGCACTAAGCTGTAACATGTACGTCCTCGTATAAGGTGTTGGGTGTTGGGCAACAACACAAAGAGGTGCTGTTATGTGCTGAGAATGCTTAAGAGGCAAAATTAAAACTTGAAACAAAAGTTTTATGATGTTTTGATGAAAAAGCGCCAAAGTCAAAATAAAAGATAAAAATGAAAATAAAATGAGAAAAGAAAAAATTAATACAAAAGGAACATGAATTTGAATGCAGAAATAAAGTTAATTTGAGTAACTTAAGTCATACAGAAATACAAAAACAAAAACAAACACAAAAAAAAGTTGCAGTTGCTATACATATCCTTTAGGAAGATTATATTCTTTTCTTCAAGTTCCGCATCAACTTGGTCTATAAAAATGTGGATGAAAATCAGAAATTTTATTGCTAAAAATGTGTTAACTTTTTTCTTTCTTATTTTGACACTTGTTGACATCTTAGCAGTGACTGATAAATTTTATAATTCGCGAAAATTTAATAAAATTTTATTCAAAAAATGTTTTCCGATTAAGATTGCCGTTAAGTTTTTAGTGCAAAATAAATGCGCTGTTATTTAGATAGTTTTATTATTTACAGAATTCTACTTCAGGACGCACAGGAAGATATGCTGATCTACGGTCCATTATCAGTTAAACGATAAATAAACTATATGAATTCTAGTATAGTTAAAGCTCAGTGTGGGGCAGAGATAAGCCCCCCAGCCATAAAAGAGTAAAAGTGCGCAATAGCACTAACTCAAATCACAACAACAACAACAACAGTAACAACTGATACATACTATATTAATATGAGAGGACTAAGAGAAGGAAATTATATATATTTTTTAAGCATACGTCAATTGATATCTTCAAGCGAAGATTTATTGAAGTCTGTGTTCAAGTCATCTTTACTAAAGAGATAAAAGGTGTCTATGTCTATATTTATACAGAGAATTAAACAGCAATTGAGGCAATGACTTACAGGAAGTTTGGTTCTAAAATTCTATTAGACAGTTATGACATACTACTGCTACTGACAGGCAAAAAACACGAGTGATACTAACATATGATGGGTGTCTGTTCATACTAGAATTAATGGTAACAAAGTATGCTAATAATCTCGCAAGAATTTAACCAGCCACTTAATTTTGAGCTTTATTGTGGTATAAGTTGATCTATAACGAGGTCTCGTTAGAAAAGTGATTTGTAATCGAAAGAAGTGACTACTATTGGTACTACGATAGAGCGTCCCTTCTCAGTATAACGAAGCTGGGGTTGTGAGCAAGTTATCTGATGGCTCATTTTGGCCTGCATTATAATCTCAACAAAATGGGTCTATATGTGGAGACAGAATGTCTTGTTTATTTGAAAGTGAACGACACCTTAACTCACATTCTCTATGACTATTCCGCATTCTATAAACCAGAAGGGGACTATTAGATCGAAGATTTCTAAGCTCGGCTTTAGTAAAGTTGTCCTTAACAGTTGATCATTTGTATTTTATTCGAAAGATGGACTAAGCAGTACAAAATATCAGTCATGATTTTAGTGATTTAAGTTGGAAGCAAGTTTATTTTCTATTCCTTTTCTGTATTAGCTTCCAGAAGACGTATAGCTGTATATAAATTAAAGATGGTTGTGAAGCTTGAATTTCAAATATTCGATGTAATCGAATTTTCTGTGTAGATGTTCGAAGAGTTCTAAATATTCGAACTATGTTGTTCATTAAATAGTTCGAACACCAAATAATTAGACCAATACAAAGATTAACTAATATATTTTTGTTAATATAAAATATTCTTTTAAAGAATTTGTAAAGGTTAAAAATGATTAATTGCTCCAATAATATCGTTTGGATGACTAGAATGATTTCTCCTATTCAATTTTTTCTAGTTCTGTAATGATTTCCAAACAAATATCTGTCAAGTTATGTTTGAGTTGA